AACTGGGTCCGCAGCTTCACGACACGTTGGTATCGTGGATCATGTGGATCCGTCAGAACCATCCCTGCTTGGACGTCCAGTTGGTCGACGATAAGTCCTTCTACATCGACATCCGGATCGGCACAGGAGTTGACAACCTCTTTGGGAGCCTCCTTGTAAATTGTGGGCATGCCATTCCAGACTGCCTTTGAGAAAGCCAGATAGCTGTTCTCACAGATGTTAGTAGAATCACAGCCAACCCATTCCTGAGCACCCACCGGCAGAAATCGTTGCGGGCAACACTATCCCATCTATCAGAAGAGTTTACAAGGACCTCGAGCTTGTCAAGTGTTGGGGAGGCAACGCGATCTAAGATTTGAAGTACGAAATCAACCTCTTCCGCATTTGGAACTGAGGTGCTCCAAGTAAGTTTTTGAAGAGGGCTGGCGCAACTACATCATCTTACCATGCCATTCGATTTTAACGTCCTTAGGTTCAACAAGATGGCCCCACTGCGTACTGTGGGTTTTGTTGAAGTCTTAAAGGATAAACTTTTCACGTGTTACCCATACAAACAACACTAAAAATCCTACCTGGATCGATCCACTGATTACTGTCGACGAAATGATTGTTGATAGGATAAACTGTGGTCAATGTATGCAACACCCGTGATACCAAAGTGGCAGTTCCTGAATACCCTCTCTCGCTCTTTGTCTTCTCGAGCAAGAGTGACAGAAGCTGGATGACTGTCTCTTTATGTTTGAGTAGCTGTGGACTGTCATCAGATGATCGATCGCAAGGTCTCTTCCTCACAACTTACGGCAGGGCCACCGTACCCAAGGCATCCTCTGAGGATGGCCATATCTAACGCAATAGGAAGTTGGGCAACTTAGTACATAATCATGAGGATGGTGAGCTAATGCTCACTCCAGTGGAGGGTCGTGTCAGAGGGCACGTTCTCGTGCGTTGAGGTTGTCCGAATGCTCGACGCCCCGTGTTTCAGTTCCTCCTGAACCTGCAAGACGCAGAAGGGTAAAAACTTGTCGATTGTTTGCTGAGGCCTCGCACGCGCGAGACATGCAACGAGGTGCCCAAATGCCCTCACAGCGTTCGACTTCGCATTCGTTGTGGCGTAATCGTAGACTAAGTTGAGGACGAGGTCAAAGAGCTGATCAGATAGATGGACACAGATGACATCGGCCATGCTCTTTATAGACTTCAGAACTACCTCCTCGGTCTTACCTCCTGTCGTCTTCTTTCGGCCTCCTTCTTCTGGAAGATTCTCGTACAGAGCAAGAATGCGCCGGAAAAGAGACGCCACCCAATCTGCAGCGTTGAGTCTTCAAGGACTTGGAAAAAGATGGACCAAGTACCTGCAAAGCCTGAAGTGCTTTCGCGGACAAGGGCATTCTCTTCTTCCCTGCTCAAAGCAACGAATGGGCTCATCCCAAAGCCCTCAGGAAGTCGAGTTTCGTCGTTGTCGAGCTCCATGAGATCTTCGCTTGGCGCGTCGCCGGATAGAGCGAACCCGGATTGGTGCATAGAGATGTCGCCAACCTTAACATGCTGAATCACACTAACAATGAATGATGTCGCGCATATAGTCTTGTTCGGGTCATTCTGCACACAAAACATCAAAGATAAACCGAGAGGCGGGAAGAATATGACAGACCAAATCAATGCCTGGAACGCATAACTCAAGGAGCGGCAGAAGATGTTTTTGACCAGGGCGCCACAGCTTCTCGGAGACCAAGGGGAGAGATATACCAGAAAGTATTTTGAGAACTGCTGTAGTCTGGTGTGTCTCGTTGACAACTTCTAAGCCCTCCATAGGCCCGTTCAAGTAGCTCTGGCATGACCAACGTAGGCTCGAGCTGTGCCATCACGCGCAGGGCTCCTTGTGTCATAGCGAGGGACAATGGATCCTTCGAAAACATTGCAAGTAAGGCAGGCGTCAGGAGGCTGGTGACGAAGGCTTGACGAACGACGGCCGTGAGACGACGGGTCTTGATATTACCCATCAATGCGACAACATCGCAAATTACCGCATAGAATACTTACTACCGGGGTGCGACATGAAGGCAGATGTTCCTCATACCAACGATCAGCAAACTCAGCCGTCAAGCGTTGAAGGAAGCTCGTAAGCTACAAACAAAGTAAAAAAAAGATGGTGTGTGAAGCATAGGACTTACTCACCAACACTGTCCAATGACCATGATTAGATGGATGGAAAAACGACTCCGTGCTAGTAATCAGGCGGTCTAAAGTATCCATGGCCTTTGAACCCGCGAGATATGTTGTCTGTCCATTTTGGGAAGACGGCGTTGTTGATGCAGAGTCACCACGAACAGGACCATCAACAGCCATGGAGTAGACGAACAGCTTAGCGAGAGCATCTATATCAGGACCATGTCGGTGTGTCAGTGCACGTGAAGCACCCTCCAAACAAACTCACTTATGCGACTGATAGTCTTCTTAATTTTGGATCCCTGGTGGGCCGAGTCCGCATGGGCAGAGGTCAGATTGGGGTGCTGCAATAAAGTTCAAAGTCACATGGATAAGAGTTGCGTCAAAGTTGCTCACTCTAGATTTCCCTACAGGAACATCTAGAAACGAATGTGAGGGATGTGGATGTTACAGACACGCGATTGGGAGCTTACACATGGATTCAAATCCCTTGCTGACCAGCAAATTCCATTCCTGTTCGGACCATATACCCACATCCTTCCACTGCGCACCACCTTCTTCACCGAAATTACCAGCTTGGCCAGCAACATGTTCTTCCGCTAATTTGCCAGCAAATTCGAGGAAACGATCATCCATCGAAAAGGAATTGAATGCCTCCCAAAGTTTGAAGACGACAGGAAGGTAGAGATGCGGATGAGAGGGAGGAAGGAACGAGGTCAGTACCGGAATCATGATGAGGATCGTCTACATGGGTTCAGTATGTATTCGTGACAGGCGACGAAGGGCACAGAACTCACGTTGGGAGTGATCATTGGCAAGAAAGTGCCGAGTATGTTGGGGATATCATCGACAGTGAAGTACGATTTGCAACTCTCTGCGACGTAGAGTAAGATGTTGTTCAGGTTTCGGCTAGGAATGCATGTCAACAAAAGCAGAACAGAGGATCCAGATGTTGCACACTTTGTTTGGCCAAGACGTTTCTTTGGAAAGAGCTCCTTGTGAAGGACGTGCCAAAGGGGTAGCCACGGGAGATGTAGATCCTTTGATTCAAGCCTACGTTTTCCGGTCTTGCCAAGGAGGCGAGATATCATGTCTGCCCAACTCCGAATGACACGGACATCCACACCAGGAATGAGACATAACTCGTAATAGAACCTAACAAGCTTGGCACGAGTAGAGGTTGTCATGGGGTAGCGCAACTGCAGCCAACTGGGCGGAATGAGATGTTTGAGGAGAGAATGGGTTGGAGACTTACCATTGTAGCATTGCGTCCCAGGTTGTGAGGACGGTCCAGTTCTTGGACTCGGCGCATATAATGAGCTTTGCTATGATATGCTCTAGCTTCTGCTGCATCTCCTGGAGAGAGTCGCACTTGTAGGGCAGAGCATCGAGATAGACGGCAAGGTTGGCTCTTTGTTTCTCATAGGAGAACTGGTCTGGGGTAAGAGGTGAAGCCTCTTCAGAAGGTGAATCAAGAAGGTCAATATCGTCCTCGTCCATTTCCACGCCTTGTATAGACAAGTTACCAGAGCCTATGTCGGCAATGATGCTGGGTAGGGACAGATCAAGGGTAGCCATTGAGATGGATTCAGATAAGAGCAAGCGAGAGATGGGAGGAGAGGGGACAAGACGTACGACGGAAGCGAAGGAGTTATTATATATTTATCAGATCTGGCCGCTGACGCGTCCCTCTGCGGACACTGCTCGCTCGCTCGCCAAGGCGCGAGAAGCCGCCGCAAGTGCACGTGACCCTCCCCACTTGATCATGTCGCACATCCTCGCCTGCGCCTTTTCCGTTCGAGCACGCCCGCGCTCCTGGTCGAAACCCGTCCTATATGGCGTCGCCTCGCTAGTCTCCGTAGCATTCGCGTTCCACCATGCGACCTCCATCCATTTCGATGCCCCGCGCAAGGACGTAGTAGGTATGTGACGACATCCGCGCTCTCCAATCGCCCCAACCTTGTCCGTCCCTAGTCGACCCTGCCACCTCCGTCGAGTTTCCGAAAGAACTTCGGGTCCCTTCCAGGTTTCCGTCACCTCCCCATTCTCTCTTGGGGGTCGGTGTGCGCACAGTCTCTTTTCTCGGTATCAATGTCTATTCCGTCGGGTTCTATGCTGACCTCACATCTCCCAAACTCAAAGTTTGTTTCACTCTGCATCAGCGTGGACACCGATACTGATCCAGGAGGACACTGCGGCAGATCCCCATCAGTGCCACACCTGATGAGAAAATCAACTATCTAGTCCGAAACGCTTCATGCGTCCTCCGCATCGGTGAGGTCATTCCGAGCCTATCCCTAACTTTGTTTACATACTCGTGTCCATAGTACCGACGCGGCACACCTCGTACACCCATCTACGTGATAGCTTTATGCGTACTCTGGCAGCACGTCTCCAACTCGCCAAGTCCCGTGGAACCATTTCCGCTGAAATGGAAGTTTGTGTGCAGTCTCCTCTCCGCAAACTCAAATCGATCTTCCCCAATACCAAGCTCTCTAAGGGTAATGCGCTTGATGTGCACCTCACAGCACCCACTGGGGACCCAACGCGCCCAAGGAATTTAGTGTTTTCGGATTTGGGTGCTGTGGAAAGTGACTGGGTCGCGGAGGAGTTCGTATTAGCGTACTTTGAAGGTGAGGGAATTAGCCCACCGGTGAGCACCACTTCTTGCTGGTCGAAAATTTCCGCTGAACACGCAAGGCTAGATGAAAAAGGCTACTGTGGAACGATTGAGTACCATTGGAAACTAGATTTGTGCAATGGCTCAAGCAATGGCTTTCTTTAGAAGAGCCACAAAAACCCTGATCAGGGCAGACGGGACTAATGCACCATCATCCCGTTTAGCTCAGTTGGTAGAGCGCGTCACTAGTAATGACGAGGTCAGTCGTTCGAGTCGGCTAATGGGAATTTTTGATCTCGCCAACGTTCTTCGCGAATTCACATGCGGGCGTGAGGAATGAGCAGTATATTTCTGCTCATCGAACTTTCACGCACTTAGTAGCGGCAATTATTCGAGTGATCCCAAAACGAGTTTGTACAATATCGAAGCGGCGCGCAAGTCCCTGGGAAAACTATTCTCATGTGTACTTGCTGACAAAACCCTCCTCCAATGGAGTCGGGGAACCTCGTTGCCGATGATATCTATGGTCTCACTTGCCCGCTTATCGAGGCCTCTCCGTTGCGCGCAGCCTTTGTGCAGACCCGCACGCTCGTCGCTCACAGCAGACGAGCTTTCCCTTACTCACTGGGTCACCTTCAGACCATATACCAGTGGCCAAAGCCCCCCATCTTCTTTGCTCACTTCCGCCCTCGACCAGAAGCAGAGAACGTCTCACTCGAGCAGGGAGGACTCGGTTGGCCCATTCCAACTCGGTATCTCGCAGGCAGCTCTGAAGCGCGGGGAAAAGGCTAAGAGATGGTCAGAACTGAGTTTCGGCGGCAAGGGTAAGTCGCCACCTCTCCCAACCACCTTACGTCGCCCGTGTGGCTGATGGTAATATCTTTTAGTGCTACGCACAACTCAACGTACCACTAACCTGACTGTAATATTGCTCGGTGCTGGACTGTCCACTGTCCTTGTCTACGCACTTACTTCGGAACTCTTTTCAAAGAACTCGCCCACAGTGCTCTACAACGACGCCTGTGAGCGAATCAAAACTTCCCCCCGAGTAAGTCCTCCGCCCCCGATGAAGAATTGACCGTTGATTAATTGGTGGTAGGTCGTCCAGTACCTTCATGCTCCCCTCGCTTTCCATAACAACCCACCCTCTTCTGTGCGTCCGCGTCACCGTCATCGACGTGTGGCATCACAGATAGCTGTTGACTCCTCTGGCCGAGAACACATGTTGCTGAACTTTTACGTTCAAGGTTCATCTTCGGCATCACTCCCAATGGAAACTGAGAAAGACAGCCAATGGGCTAGCTATGTTGAATCGCTGGCCTCCTTGACGTTCGAGGACGTCAAGGAGGGGATGTCCCCCTTTATCGACTCGGCGAAGAGCGCGTTTAAGTATCTCAGAGGGGACGCTATCCCTTCTGCGATACCTCCAGTGGCAACAAACAAAAAGCAGAGTACGGACCAGGAAAGAACTGAGGAACGCTCGTGGTGGGGAGTAACCAGCCTATTTTCTGGACTTCGCGGACGGAGATCACACGATGGAGGCAGCCATGGTGCAGGGACAGCTTGGACGGAGGGGGAGGTACATGCAGATCTTGTGAGGGTGCGTTAAACGATTTCTCCGCTGTTAACTCAGCCATGGTACGCAAAAAGAGCATACGGAGTGCCGTATGAGTACTTGCCATGCTATATGTTGCATGCTAATGGCACGCTCGTGTCTGCGTCTGGTGGGGTGCACAGGGACATTGCATGCTGACTGTGTGATATGACAGAACGATGAAGGATACTTCGTTCTTCGGTACCTCCTCGTAGACATACCAAGTGCGTAATTTGTTTACTTCCACCGGAGACCTGCCTGATGCGGTTCGGCGCACCCTAATTTGACTTGTTAACAGACTCGGACAGTCGCAACCCGATCAGGGTATTTGTCGAACGGGCACCAGGCGTTCGCGAGAACGAGCCTATTATGCGGTTTCATTCATCCTGAATACACGCACTGGGTGCCGTACGTCCACATCAAGGGCTAGGGAGGAACACACTGGAGCAGGATCAGCATCATGGTCGGATATAGTCGTCGTGCACCGATGTAATGCATATTGTCACAATGAAATCCAGCAGGGTCTCAGCCAGCGTGATAGGTGAGGAAACATGATGGAAATGTCAATGCACCATCCGTGTGCGTGGATGATGAGGTACATGGAACGTCTGAAGGGACAAGCATTATTCTCCGAAAAGCTTCTGCACGCGTTTCAAGACGGAGTCCTTCTCAGGGTCTGCGAAAGCGTGTCATGAATGAAAAGTATATGCAACGAGCAGTTGAAGTGAGTCAGTGAGACTGCCTCGTACCGTATGGGTGGTCTTTAGATGGGATCTCGAGGAGGGTAGGGAAGGCTTGGTGGTACCGATCGACCGTGGGTCTGATCTTCTCTGCAATCTGGATCGATTGGAATGAACCTCATGAGCATGAACGTATACACTGGCGAAGTAGAGTGTTGTGGCACGCACATGCTGGTTAATGAGGATTATTGCTACATCCTTGCGTTCCGTGAACTCTTGAAAGGCTGCTTCGATGGTTGATACCTGGGTCTCTAGGGAAGGGTTAGGAAGAAAGGGGTGGGGGCGTTGCACTGGCGAGCGCACTGGAATCGACAACGAGAAAGTTCTTCTTCTGGTGCTCGTTGATGTGGCCGACGCCGGCGAGCAAAAGACCGGTGATTGAGTCCTGTACAGAGTGTGAGCAGGCAGATGCGAGACAGGATGGGTCGTGTACTTCGTCGCCAATGACCGCGATCAATGTCCTGTCCTTGAAGGATGTGTGCGCTGCCATACCGAGTCACGCCACGAATGGCAACAACCAACTTGAAGTCAGCTGGCACGATCATGGGTCCGTCCATCTCTGAAGACACCCTGCTGTATGTACTTTACCCCCCGCCTCCCCTCGCCGACAACGCCTCTTGCACGTCCCTCGCGGCGTGCATCCACGATCTCGTCCCAACACTTCTCCCTGACTTGCTCTGGCATCGCGACCCCTTTCAGCTCAAGATTGCGCCGGATCCAGATGCCCGCCACGGCGAGGATAAAAATGTTCTCGAGGGTCGCATGCGCGTCGGCGACGCTGTCGACGACGAGTGGTGCGTTGTCTGGCTCCTCAGAGAGATCTCAAAGCAGTGGGATGTCGTCGTTTGGTCTGTCCATGCACTGTCCACCCCTCGTTCGATTCCCCTCACATCTGGTTCATGATAGTGCCTCTGATTCGGATGGCGAGTTCTTACTCATCGAGGCAGCTGAGTCCCTGCCCCACTGGGTGAACCCCTCAAACGCGACCAACAGGGTGCGCACCCCTCCTCCGTTGTAAACGGTGAGAACCATCAGCTAAGCGACCCCTTTCGCTCTTACGTTGCAGGTGTGGATACACAATGGCCGCTTGCATCTCATCCCTCTCTCGCACGTTTCTGCTCCCAGCAAGCCGAGGAAGCGACCCCGCATTCCTGGGGGGAGGAAACGTGAGGACGAGGACCACTTTGCTGCTGACGAAGAGGATGGCTACATTGCAATCGACGACGCACTTCCTCTCGTGCGGAGCGCATCCGTCGACACTCTCGCTCCCAAGGCGGTCGAGGACACCGTGTGGCAGAGAATCTCTGGGTATCCAGGTGCTGCGCGCAACCACGTGCATACGACCATGGCCCACCTCCCTATCGACATCGCTCGTGCCCTCACCGTCGACCAATCACTGATTCAGAAGCCTGTCGAGACATTCTACACTCGCGACGCAATTCAACTTCGTGTGAGTCCGAGTACTGCTTTGGTGGCTGTCTTGACGAACGGTCATAGGCTGCTCACAAAATGGCACGCTTTCCGCCACGCCCAAGTGTCCTTTGCAGGGTCCAAATGACACGGACTGCTTATGCTCAACTGTTGAGCCAAAAGTTCTATCCACCCAAGATCTTCGGCGTCTTTAAGGAGAGTGAAGGTACAGTTGCCTGGCGGAGGCGAGATGTCGGCATGAAATTGGTCAATCATTCAACTCGACTGATTTACTCGGCCACTCATATGGACTTTCAGGCTTGTGGATTCGAGATGTTGTTTCAGGAATCCAAAAATCGTGCAGACGTTGCAAAATCAACCACGGAAGCACTGGATTCTTCCGTAAGTGCCTTTGGACCTGATCACTCGCGAGCTCGTCACTTATCTCATCCCTCGCCAGACCGAAGCACGCAAAGATGCTCTTCGCCGTTCACGAGATTACAAAGCATACCTGACCCGTCTCGCTACTATCGGTTACTTCCGCGATGAAATCGAGGGCTCACAGATGTGGAACAAGCTCGAGAATAAGGCCGCTGATGCTTATGTCGAGATTCGACGGGGAGAGTATGTTTACAAATCCGCGTTTGAGTGTTGTGCCCTTGGTTGATCAAACCTCTGTTCGGCAGCGGCATGTCACGGCCGTCTTTTGCAGCTTCGTTCAATGGTGCCCTTTCTCGAGCTCCCGAAGTGCTTTTGGATGCGGATTTGGTGCAAACGGAGGATTCGGATGAGTGGATGAACGTTGACGCCAATGATATCGACGAAGTGCTTGAGCGAGCCATGCGCGCTGGCGACTCGACCGCAGAGACCCACAGTATGAACACAGATGGTGAGGGAGGTGAGGATGATAGGGTCACAAAGGAACAAACGGACAAACTCCGCGATCTCGCTGCTAAAGTGGAACAATTCGTGGAAGGTAAGGGGGACGTAGAGGGTGCGCGATTCAAAGAGTACGCCTTGCCTGTTTCTACTTCGTGATCTTCGTGATCTGACATTTCTCACTTCCACCCTTGTGTCCATAGCGAAGCGTTCTCTGACGAAGATGGTACGGATAATGATGACGACGAAGACATATTCAGCGATGAGAGATTCTCTGACTCGGACGACGAAGAGTCTGACGCAGAAACTCGGAAAGCGACAGAAGCGGCCCGCCAGCAAGCGATGGATAACCTCGTTCCTGCTCTCCCAGCTTCGGAATATGGTCAAATGCCCGCTTCTTTTAATACGCAACGTGTGGCCAAGACCACCATCCTGACCGAACAGGTTGAAACTGGACCTCGCAAAGCTGATACCATCGCCAATGATACTGCTACTGGAGAATCTAGCCCCACAGTGCTCGCTCGTCCGATTCGTCGTCCACTTCTTTCACGTGATAAATACGATGGAGTCGATTCAGATGACGAGTCGTCTTCGTCGGACCCTTTAGCTGGTGGGGACGACGAGGACGGAGAGTCAGAGGAAGATAGACCTCAGGTGGTCGGTG